ACAGCACAACGCAACACATACGTTTTGCTCTTCATGTGTGTGGAAGTAAAGTTACACCTTTTCAGGGCTAATTTTTGACATTCACAAGCCATTAAGACGTAGTTCAACTTGTTTCAAAACCAGGAACATATCTGTTGGGAACAGAATAACCGTCGTCAAATGAACTCGTTCATTCATTTCCTATATTTTTGTCATGCATAGCAGCCTTGACCATTTGCTGGGTCCCAGTCAACGATATAGCTGCCACATTGTATATCTACAATATTCGACAAAAATACGACTTCGACAACTCACTATCTATCGACTGGGATCAAACACATATCTTTCTCTTGCCTTTCAACTCTGTGCGCCTTTGGCGGGTCGCCTTTTCCTAGTGTTTCCGAACGCTGAGAGGCTAACAGTCGAGATCGTCGTCGTCATAATTGGTTTTTGACTTTGAGTGGGTGTGGTGGATATTACAATGGGAGACAAGAACTTCTATTGAACGTCGTCCTCTAAAGTAGCTATTGGAGACGTTGTGGACGTTGTATAAGGAAAAGCAAGCAACTCATTGGTTAATCTTTCTGCTAACAGAATGACTATGCAGGGAGAGACTTGTCAGGTGGATTCTTCTAGTCTTTGGTATAGTTGTTTTGCTTTTGGGCTGAGTCAGCTGGAAATTGTACTGAATTCCAAGAAGAAGAAGATAAAGTGGTTGTGCGTGTTTTCAGAAGGTTTTGAAAGTATTTATGCAGTACTCATTACGTTTGTCGCTCTCATGCATATCTAGAAAAGATGCATGAAATGGACCCTCTGTTTTACCGGTATCATTTATGAAATGTGTTCATAACTTAAAACATCGCGCATTTAGAAATGATTACATTATCTTTTCCTCCATTTTACTGCATATAGTACCTGTTTTTCATAATTTTGAGTTTTGCTGATTACCTATGTCTCCTTATTGTTTTCCTCATTTCCCGCATTGTTTTAGCAGTTGAGCTAATTCCGCGTTTCTTATCAAAATAAACATTTAAACCCAAACCATCTTGAAACATGTCACTTGAATAAATGTCGACCTAGCTATCAATATGTTTTGGAATTTTCATGCCTTATACTTATTTCTGTGCGTGGTTTTGAAAACATGAAATACGGACGCAATGAGCAGCTTCACACGCTCTAATCCTCAT